GTCGTTCCTTACGATTGTAAACATAGTGACAAACACTTAGCTCTTTTTGGTTTAAGCCCAAAACCCTAAACCCTAAACCCTAAACCCTAAACCCTAAACCCCAAACCCCAAACCCCAAACCGTAATCAAGTCTTGAGCCCTAAACCCTAAACGTTACGGTTTAGAGCTTAGGGTCTGTTACGTGACGTGCAAGAGGGCAAGGCAAAGGCGGGTCTGAGCCAAGCCTTGGGGGTAGCCCTGGGTCTGTGAGGCCTGACAAGCATCGAACTTAGGGTTTCGGGTCTAGGGTTTAGGGTCTAGGGTCTAGGGTTTAGGGTTTAGGGTTTCGGGTTAAACCCTACAAGCCTTTCAGGGTTTTAAGGGGTCGCGGGTTTGAAGGTTTCAGGTTTTTTTTTGGTTTGGGGTCGGATGATGCTAGGCCCTTACTTGAAGTGTCATGGTGCAAAATTGACCAATGACAATTCTCACTGTACTTAGAACCCACTTATAAGCCCCCTAAGTGCCCTACTATGGTTGTAAGTACAGTTAATAAGTACAGTTATAATGACTTAATAAGTAGGGTCGGAGGATGCTCCTTATTGGTTGGTTCCTAAGTCCTGAGCCAGACCTCTGGGAGGATCCAAAAAGTAGAACCCCCAAAGAGTACCCTTTCCTACAATTGGGTCATGTTGAGGAGCAACCCTAAACCCTAAACCCCAAACCCTAAACCCTAAACCCTAAACCCTAAACTCTAAACCCTAAACCCTAACCCTATGATCCTAAGCTCTACGCAGGACTGCATGGACCAAGCCCCGCACTTGTCGCGCGGCCTGGAGAGTCCCTCGGAAGACCTTTTTGGGGTTCTTAGGGTTTGTAGGGCTAAACCCTAAACCCGAAACCCTAAACCGTAAACCCCAAACCCCAAGCCCTAAGCCCTAAACCCTAGTCCGCTTTAAGGGTTGTAGGGCTAGGGACTTAGGTGTCAAGGTTGAGGGCCCTACACTTTGGGGGCTTTGGGCGTGGGCTGTAGGGTTTGCTCTGAATGCTCGAGTAGGCCTATAGCGTTTAACTACAGTTCCCTGTGTTGTGGGCTGTCTTGCGGGGGTAGCCTAGCTTTGCTTTCCAGGCAGGATATTGGTGTCCTAAACCCGAAACCCTGAACCCTAAACCCTAAGCCCGTAGCCCCTAAACCCTAAACCCTAAGCCCTAAGCCCTAAGCCCTAAGCCCCAAACCCTCCTGGTGCGATTGCGGAGGTCTTTCCGAGGAGTTTACGAATGAGGGCGCCGTGTCGAACGCGCCGACGCTCGGCGGATTAAGGTCTGGGGGAGGCGTAGTGCTGGCGGTGTAGGGTTTATCGGGTTTAGGGTTTAGGGTTCAGAGTTGCTAGGTCGATGCCAGCTTTCTGCTTGTGGTTGTAACCTGGGTCAAGGATGAGTGTTCAGGGTTGCGTGGTTCAGGGCTTCAGGTTATAGGGTTTGGGGTTTTGGCGGGGTGTGGTGGGTTTTGGGAAGTTTTCTTTTTTTTTTTGGGGAGGGGGGGGGGGGGGGGGGGGTGGGGATTTTTGGGGGGTTCGCGGGGGTTTTGGGGGGCTTTTGGGGTTTTGGTATCGAGTGCTTAGGGGGGCCCAGGTTGGTTTTGGGGTTTCGCCCTAAACGCTCGTACTTTGGGGGCTGAGTGACGAATTCATCTTCAATCCAGGTTGCGGCACTTTTTGTGCTAGGACGGTGTAGATGATCCCAGTTTTATCCAGGCTTGTCTTCCCTACTACATACCCCCACACCCTCAAGACAATGTCCACTTCTTTGGCTTCGAAGCCCGAGGCCGTAAACCCTCAACCCTCAACCCTCAACCCTCAACCCTCAACCCTCAACCCTCAACCCTCAACCCTCAACCCTCAACCCTCAACCCTCAACCCTCAACCCTCAACCCTAAACCCTAAACCCTAAACCCTAAACCCTAAACCTAAACCCCAAGCAGCCTACTCCTGTTGGGGTGCCCTAGTCCCCGCATCAAGGCATACTAGAAGAGACGCCTTAAGCCCCCACACGCCTTGCAGTCAGCCCACCCCAAAGAAGCTCTATGCTGCCTCTGGGGGTCCTTATCAGGGTCCCTAAACCCTAAACCCTAAACCCGAAAACCTAAACCCTAAACCCTAAACCCTAAACCGTAAACCTTAAACCGTAAACCGTAAACCCTACACCCTAGACCCTAAACCCTAAACCCTAAACCCTAAACCCTCAACCCGAAACCCTAAACCCTAAACCCTAAACCGCATTTTTTGCAGGGGTTCCCAGCCCAAAGCCGTTTGTGAAGGAGCCGCGGCAGTGGCGACCCCCTGGATCGGCTCGTGGCGGCGGCAGCACTTGTCACAGGGGGGCGAGGGCCCGATTCTATCCCTAATCCCTAAACCCTAAACCGCCTAAATCCTAAACCCTGAACCCTAAACCGTGTATGACTGACTAAATATCAAGGTGTCAGAAGTTTTCGGGTTTGGGGGGTCTCGGGTTCGGATTGGGGGCTCTAAGCGTTGGGAGGGGGCAAGAGGGGGGGTGGCGGCAAGAGTAGGGCCCTTCCACACCCAAAACTGACCCAGGGTCGCCGAAGCATGGATCCCCTAAGTAGTTTAAACCCGAACACTCAACCCTGAACCCTAAGCCGAGGAAGCACCTCAACCCTGAACCCTAGACCCACTATCAACCACGGTGGGCAGACGGAACACCCTAAGCCTAAACCCTACAGCCTAACCCTAAACCCTAAATCCTAAACTCAACCCCAAACCCTAAACCCACGGTGAAGGGCACAACCCTAAACCGCAAACCCACCATGAACCACGGGAGGGAGTGGGGGGGTGCGTGAATGCTGGCGCATAAGATGGTCCCTTTTGAGGTTTGTACTACAAAACAACCCCGATTATTTGGGCTAATTACCCTAAAAGGGACCGTATGCGCTGGTTCTGGTCATCCCCGAAAACCCCCAACCCACGAAACCCACTAAGCCGTCAACCTCCCCCAAGCCCTACACCCTAAACCCGACACCCTAATAAATCCTAAACCCTCTACACCCTAAACCCTGTACACCCTAACCCCTACACCTTAAACCCTAAGCCCTATACCGTGCACCCTAAACCCTATACGCCCTAGACCCTATACACCCTAAACCCTATACACCCCAAACCCTGCACCCTAAACCCTACACCCTAAACCCTACACCCTAAACCCTAAACCCTAAACCGTAAACCCTAAGAACTCAAGTCGCGGCGAGGTCCTGCGGTGCCTGGTCCGGCGCCGTGTGGCGCCTTCCGCTGCAGAGGCACACGTGGCCGCTGGGCTTTTGAGCTTTTGGGGGTTCAGGGTTTAGGGTTTAGAGTTTAGGGTTTAGGGTTTAGGGTTTAGGGTTCAGGCTTAAGGGTTTAGTGTTTAGGGCTTAATTAGGGCTTAGGGCGTAGGATTTAGGGTGCAGCTACCGAGGCGGAGGGGTTTACTACAAGACCGCTTATGGGACTCTTGGGAAAGGTACAAACAGGGCTTTGGGGCTCTCGCGGGAGTCATTAAGTCATGAAGTGATTATGAAGTAGGACAGTCCCAATCAGGTTCCCTTTTAGGGCAATTCGAATACTCCTCTGTACCTACTTACCAAGTCCCATATCCTCAGGAATGCACCCTAGAACCCTAAAACCCTAGAACCCTCGAACCCCAGAACCCTAGAACCCTAGAACCGTTGAACCCTTGAACCCTGGAACCCTGGAACCCGAGAACCCCAAATCCCTAAACCCTCATTTCAGAAACCCTAAACCCTAAACCCTAAACCCTAAACCCTAAACCCTAAACCCTAAACCCTAAACCCTAAACCCTAAACCCTGAACCCTCCAATTTTGGGGTTATAGTAGTACAGGGTGTATGACCCCAACTTTTGTGTTCATTTGGGCCCCAAGGAACCCTAGAACCCAAAATTCACCTAAGGACCCGGCGGAGCTGGCGATGGAGGCCTGCTTCCTTAGGGTTTGGGGTTTGGGGTTTGGGGTTTAGGGTTTAGGGTTTAGGGTTTAGGGTTTAGGGCGTGCCAAACGGAAGTGCGCTTTGGGAGCGCGCGGTAACCCACCCCAAGACCGCCCACTTACAACTCTCAAGGAGTTAAGACCTGTTATTTTTTTACAAAGCATCACATGAGTCAGCACTCACGCCCTTTTGGGGACCTCCACATGGTGCATGCAGCAGACGGAAAGGCGAGGCAGGGTCAGCGAAGACAGCTTGGGTTGGCGCGAAGGGGCTATGGCCAGGGATGGGCCAGGAACAGACAAAGGCAGCGAGGCTTGGTTGGCGCGAAGGGGCTAAAGCCAGGGAGGCAGGGCCACGGAACACAGGCAGTGAACAGCTTGGGTTGGCGCGAAGCGAGTGGACAGCTTGGTTTGGGCAGACCGCCACGGAAACAGGGCAGGCGTGGACCAGGCACTTGGCGCGAAGGGGGTAAGGTGACAGGGTGGCGGGACCCAGGGGAGCCCTCGCAGGGGGGGCCTCCAAGGCAGGACCCAACAATGTGCGCGGACAGCTTGGGGTTTAGGGTAATATAATATTTTACAGTGACAACTGCTGACTCGGCCTGTGCCTGCCTGGAGGGTAAGCCAGCCTGTTGGCCAGATCGGTCGCCTGCCTGAGGCTCCTTCGCAGGGTCTCACTCGGCGCTCGACCAGCGCCCGCCTACCCCAAAAGACAAGAGAGTGGGGTGGCGGGCGGGTTTAGTGTACCCCTTATTATCATCCCTAGTAAGGATTGTTAGCATGAGGGGGAACATCCCAAGGTTCAGGGTGTAGAGCTAGCCCCAATCCCTGAATCTTCCCCGAACATGAACCCTGAGGAATTGCGATCAAGGGTTTAGGGTTTAGGGTTATTGTGCGAAAGTTGCTGACCCCACACCACTTTCTAGGTAAAGCATGTACCTTGTACAGTTGTATAGAGGTGTCTTTACCGAAGCCCTTTATAGGCACAAGCAAGAGTGGGAGAAAATAGGTTTCCGCTCGTTTCGCATGGTAGCGGAGCTCCTGGTTCAGAAGCCAGTCGACCGGAGCTCGTGAACAACGGGTGATACCGTTAGCTGCGTGTGAAGCAGCAGCGGGTGACACCGCAGGCAGGGCGACAAGGCCTGCCGGACTCGAGGGAGTCTTGCCAAAACCCTCGTTAAAGAAGCAAGACAGAAGCGAACTGCGCCAGTAGCAGTCGCGAAGAAAGGCACCACGGGAAAAGGTGGAGCAAAAGGAAAGGGGTCTGGAAAGACCAAGAAGGGTGTTAGAAAAGGGAGAGAAGCCGACGCACCTCGCAGTCGTCATCGTAGTGCAGAAGCAGAGGAGCGAAGGATCCTACGAGGCTTTGCCAGACGAGCAGAGCGAGCGCTGAACAGGTCGGAGTCCAGGGACAGGGAACCGCAAGAGGCTCCTGTGCCTGGAGACTTGTCTGCAGAGGACGCGCTCAGACTACAAGCCAGGCCCAGCGAAGGCAGCAACCTTGGGTTTGGTGAGTGGTTAGACGAGGACGCCTGGGTTCCTGAAGAGTTACCTCCCACCAGTGACAGTGGACAGTGGGAGCGCTTGAGGGCCCAGTACCCAGGGCTGGCTACAATCGCAGCGCAGAACCCTGGACGACAAGCTAGAAGTAGCTACTTGCAGAAGGTAGCTGGTCAGAGGGTGCAAGAAGGGCTTGGGCGGCTGGCAAGGACCAGCAGGCGCGGCACAGCAGCTTCCTCGGACGAGGCAGAGGCCAGCGAGGAGCGAGAAGAACCCAGCAGTGCTGCGCGGGTGATACCGCCTACAGAGGCGGGACACACCGAGCCAGCAAGAAGCGGGGCTTCAGTGGTTACGCTCACACACCAGCCAACATCGGTGTGGGACTCCGAAAGTGAAGGCGAGATCAAGCAGGAGGTCAAGAAAGAGGAGCAGTCCGGAAACACCTCGGATTGGGAAAGTGAAAGCTCAGAGGAGCACAGCACTGACCCGGAGGATCCGAACGGTGTGCAGTCTGCCTTGAAGAAGGCCGACAGGGCACGTGAAAGGCGGGAACAAGCAAAGCGGCACAAGCAGCCGCCGTCGGAGCCATCTGAGCCTCCGCGTGCCAAGGCCCGCCCATCGGTGGGGCACTCGAGTGCGGGGGCCGCCTCGAGCTGGGACCTCGAAAGTCGGGCCTCCTCTGTGGGCTGGCGACGGCAGGTGACGCCGAGCTTTGACAACAGAGTCACAGAGGAGGACACAGAGAACGAAGAGAGGAGTGACGAGCAGTGGAGCCGCCAAGATCGGGAGCGAGATCGGCTTTGGAACGAGTGGTACAGAGCGAGAGGAACGGGAGGCTGGCACCAGTGGCAAGGCTCTTGGTGCCAGTCCTCAGGAGCGGGTTGGAACCGCTGAAGTGCGGGTGACACCGCCGAGTGTGAGGGAGCAGCTCAAGCAGGCTGCTGCCGAACTCGGCACCGCTTCTGTGTTCGTGAAGCCTGTACAGTTTGTGTGTGTTTGAGTTTTTTTGGTAGTTTCAATGGCAACTCTAGAAGAGTTAGCCCGTAGAGTGCAGGACCTAACACTTGGTATGCAACGAGCCAACGCTGCCTTTGAAGAGCAACAAAGGAAGACAGCAGAGGCCGAAGCTAGACTTGATGTAGCAGAACGAGCACTTCAAGCACAGTCAGCAGCAGCAGCAGCAGCAGGACAAGCCACAGGGAGCACCGAAAGAAAAGAGAAAGAACTGATACACCCCAGTCATGTTCCAAAACCGCACACGTTTAACGGCAAGAAAGAAGAATGGGAAAAGTTCAAACATGTTTTCATGGCATGGTCAAGCACAGTGCATGAGCGTTACCCAGAGTTGTTGGAAAAGCATGGAGCCAGTAAGAACCCGATTGATGAAGCCAAATTTAGCCCCGAAGAAAGTAGACTGTCGAAAGCCATGTACACGTTTCTGATACAGTACTGTCCCGAGCCAACGATGAACGTCATAGGACAAGGGTTGCGTGATGCCAACGGTTTTGAGGTTTGGAGAAGATTGGTGCTTCTGAGCGAGCCAGCGCATCGGACTAAGGCATGGGTATGGCGCAGGCACTTAGCAAATCCCTCGTTTCCGAGTGACATTGCACAGTGGAGCACAGCGCTTCACCAGTGGGAAGCTGAACTTCGAGAGTTTGAGCGTACGTACAACACAGCGTTTTCAGAAGATGAGAAAGTGTCCATTTTGGCTCATATTGCACCGAAAGAGTTGCAGCAAAGCATCTTCATGCACAGTGATGTGTTGAACGGATACGACAAGATAAGAGAGTACATCGAACAGTATCTGATCAACAGAAACCTGTGGAAAAGGCCTCAAGGTTCACAGTTCGGGATGCCCAAAGCCTCAAACAAAACTGGTGAGCATGATGATGGGGGAGTGAGGCCTATGGACATCGGCGGAGTAAAAGGAGACAAAGGCAAAGGGAAAGGAGAATGGAAGAAAGGAAAGGACCACTGGGGCGACAAAGGAAAGGACAACTGGAGCAACAAAGGAAAGGACAAATGGAAGGAGAGTTGGAACAACAACAGGTGGGACAACAACGGCAAAGGAAAAGGTAAGGATGGAAAGAAAGGCAAAACCGACAAGGGAAAAGGAGCAGGCAACAACAACAAAGGAGGCAAAGGAAAGCAAAACGATGGGAAAGGAAAGAACAACAATCCGCACGCTGGAAAGCAGTGCCATGTATGCCACAGGCATGGTCACATTGCTGCAGACTGCTGGTGGAAGGTTGGAGCAGTCGACAGCGAGGCCTACACCGAGACCGGTGGGACGGGTGCATCCGGGAATGCCCCAGAAGACCGGAGTGGCAACGGTGCAGGGATTGGTTCTGTGTTTGAAGGTTCGCAGCGTGTTGTCAAGTGGAGTGATGAAGATGTGATATTCACTGTGAGTGAGAGTTCCGTTGCAGCTGTGACTGCAAAACAGCTAGGCAACCGGTATCTTCTCATCGACTCAGGAGCCTGTGAGAGTGTAGCAAAAGTAGGAGACTTTGAAGCACAGGTGGATGCCTCGAAAGCGAAGCCTTTGTTCAGCGTGCAAGGGACGCCGCTTAAGGTGTATGGAAAGCAGTACCCTCAGGTCATGTTCGGACAAACCAAAGGAGCAGTAGAAATGACCGTAACGGATGCTGCTGAGAGCCTAGTTTCGGTCCACAGTTTGGTAGCGAGAGGACACAAGGTGGTTTTCAGCCCAGGAGGGTGTTTCCTCGAGACCAGCGCGGGTGACACCGTACCACTTGAGCTTCATGGGAAAAGGTGGTACTTGAAAGTGATGGACGTGGGCGAAGGGAGTGCGCCTGCAGGAGGCAGGAGGGTCGCACCCATTGCCGACAAGCCGGATCTGGGTCCCCGAGAGGAAGACCGCTGGAAGAGAGAAGTGAAGGATGGGGTGGAGTATCTCATTCGAGAGCACAACAGCCCAAGAAAGCGTTTGTTTGCGCCAAAGATCAAGGATCTCCCTGTGCCCTTGGAGAGACTGGAGAGTGGAAGGCTCACCAAGATGATCTTCGAGGAGGATGGGTCCCAGAAGGAAGATCGGAGTGCGTGGGAAGACAAGCGCTTTGCAATGAGGGATATGAAGCATGCTTGGCTGGGAGAAACCTGGTTCAGGCTGAAGCCAGAAAGAGAAGAAGCAGCTGCTGAGGAAGAGCAGCCAGACTATGAAGGCGAATGGATGCAAGGACTAGACGAGGCATATGAAGAAGAGATTGCGCAAGGAGAGGAAGCTCATGGAGGAGTTGTGGAAGACGACGAAGACGCAGTGGATCGGCTGATGATAGAAGAGGACAGAGAAAGAGACCAGGGCAAGGTCATCAAGGCACCGAAGGAGCCGTCAGCTCAGGAGGTGGAAGAACACAACCTCCACCATGCCAACTTCGAGAGTTGGTGCCCTGTTTGTGTGATGGGGCAAGGTAAGAGCAAGCAGCACAGGAGGGTCAAGGAAGACCCCAAGGAGCATGTGATCTACTCCGACTACATGTTCTTTTCTGGAGAAGGCAAGGAAGTGAACAAAGAAGAAGGAGAAAAGAAGCGGGCTGGTTTGGTAACCGTTCTCACTGCAATTTGCAAAGAGAGCCAGTACCCTTTCGCGCTGGTGTTGCCATCCAAAGCCAGCGTGGACTACGCAAGCAAGGCAATGATCAGCTGGATCAAGGATCTGAAGTGGGACAAGGTAGTAATCCATTTCGACCAAGAAAGCGCTCTGAACAAGATATATGAAAGGGTGCAGAAGGAAATGGGTGACACCGTTACTCTGCGGAGATCACCGCGATACAGCTCACAGTCCTTAGCAGATGGAGAGATGGTCAACGGTTTTCTGGCAGGCAAGATTCGCACATGGCTTGCGGAGGTGTCAGAGAAATACAAAGTCAAGATTGGCTGTGACAGTGTCTTGTTTCCATGGATTGTGCGACACAGTGCGTGGACGGTGGCACGGTTTCACATCAACCACTCGAAGACAACGGCGTTCAGAGTCATCAATGGGTTTGACTATGTGGGTGAGATGATGACATTCGGACAGGTGGCCTTAGCAAAATTTCCGAAGCAAAAGGACAAGGCAGCTCCAAGATGGATTCGCGGAGTGTATGCCGGAAAGAATGCTGCAGGAGATGAGCACTTGGTGCTTACAGAGTCAGGGGTGCAGACATGCCGCACCGTGAGGAGGTTACCAGAAAGTGCAAGATATGAAGCGGCGATACTCGACAAGGCAAAGGGAGTGCCTTGGAACAGGTACTTGGGCATTGCAACAAGCAAGGTAGTGCAAGAACGGTCTGAGAGCAAGGGTGTAGCAGTTCCGGAGTTGGAGCCTGCAGAGACCTACGACTTCAAGCCAGAGACGATAGTGGTGCCAATGCCGGCGCCAAGAGCAGCAGACGATGCAGGAAAGGAAAGTGAGAAAGCTGCGTTGCAAGAGCCAGAGAGCAAGAGAGCCAGGGTGGAGCCTGCGCAGGCCAGTCGGCCGCCGGGTGACACCGGGAATGCTGCAGCTAGCACGCAGCAGTTCAACATTGCTACGCCTGATGCCAGCATGGGCACAGACAGTCTCGACACGAGCATGTATGTGCCAAGCGTGCCGGGAGATGTAGCGCAGAACATGGTGGACAGCGTGAGTAACCATGGGACCTGGCTGGAGGGTAGTGCTCTCCTACCAAAAGAAGATGTGGGTGTGTACAAGAAGTGGCTGAAGCAAAACAAAGATTGCTTCAACGAGACAATGGTGAGCAACATCATGGACTACCTGGACACGTTGCAGATTGACGAGAAAGAGTTGAAGAGAGCGAGAAAGGAAGAGCTGAGAAAGCTAAATGAGGTGTACGGTGCCTTCACACCGAGAGATGGGAGACAGATAACAAAGGACCTGACGGTTTTCGGCCACAAGTGGGTTGACAAGGTCACTGAAGGAGTGGCAAAGTCACGACTCACATGTCAGGACTTCAAGAAGAAGCAAGAAGCGAATGAGAAGCACAACTCAGAGTACCCTTCAAATTTCTGTCCAACGCCGCACGCCACCTCGAGGAAGTTGTTGGAGGTTTACTCGCTGACGACAAAGATGCCGAGAGTCAAGGCCGACCTTAGCTCGGCTTTCCTCATTGCGAAAGATGGTGGAGATGCAAAAGGACAACCAGTGATGATGAAGCCGCCAAAGGAATGGCTGGAGGAATACGATGAGTGGTACGCAAAAGCAAGCCCAGAAATGCAAGAGCAGATGAAGAACGTGCCGAAAGAAAGCGTGCTGTGGCAGATCGATGGAAATCTGTATGGAAGGCAGTCAGCGGCAGCGCAGTACAGAGATCGTCTGGAAACCATTTTGACCAAGGAACTCCCGAAGGGAGTGTATCAGTTTCACAGGGGGACACTAGACGCATGTGTCTTTCGATGCGTGCGAACAGGGATCGTTTTGATCCACCACATAGACGATTTCGACGTTTGTGGACCGGCAGAGTTGCTGGATGACCTGCTGAAAGTTCAGCTGCCGAAGTGCGGATGCAAGCTAAAAGTGGGTGAGCTTGAATGGCCAGGCGCAGCAAGCAGTAGCACGAGTGAATTTCTTGGCAGAAAGAAGATCCTGGTGGAGGGAGCTGTGGTTACGATGCCGAACGAAAAGCATACCACTGACATCCTTAGGATGCTAGGACTAGAGGACGCCAAGCCAAGCCCCGTTCCGGGAAAGAAGCTCAACCTAAAGGATGACAAGCTTCTGGAGGGCAGAGCCAAAGAAATCTACGCTAGCTGTGTAGGCAGTGCTACCTACCTGTCGCAGGATCGACCCGACATCAAATTCGCATGCAAGGAGCTTGCAAAGCGGATTAGGAATCCCAGGGAATGTGACATGCAAAACCTCAAGACGTTAGGTAGATATCTCAGGGGAACCATGCACGTGGGACATGTGACAAAGATGAGTGAAGACTTCGAACCAGCTGCAGGGATTCCGCTGCAGGGGTATTGCGACAGTGACTGGGCAGGTGACAGAGAAGACCGCAAGAGCACCAGTGGGCAGGCAATAGTCCTAGGAGGGACCGTGGTTGAAACTTCTGCTCGGAGTCAGCAAGGAACTCCTGCGACCAGCTCAGGAGAGGCAGAAGTCAGAGCCCTAACTCAGTGCGCCCAGGACCTAGTTTTCGTGCGGAACTTAGGTGTGGAAGACTTTGGCATGACGATCGATGTGCCAAGACTGTTTTGTGACAGTAGGCGACATGTTGATCTGGGACATTTCTACATTCAAGAGCTTGTGAAAGAGAAAAGAGTGATCGTGCAGAAAATCAAAGGAACGGAAAACCCATCGAATGCTTTGACGAAGCACTTAACAACCGGAAAGGAGATGGAAGAAGCACGCGAAATGCTCGGGTTGGTTACCTTGGACAAGCAAGGACTTGACAAGCACGTTACAAAGAACAGCATGCAAACCATCGGAGCAGTCAACATTTGGAAAAAGTGGCAGCCGCAGCAGTGCTCAAAGCTGAACATAAAGCAATTTGTCAGTGCTGTTACTAGACACCGGCCTCTGAGGGAGTCACCTCATGGATCTCATTCCTCATGGACCGGGTGACGCCGGAACCCAATGGTTGCTCTTCGTAGTAGTCAGTGTGGTTCTGAACATCATCACGCTCTCAGTGATGGTGTGCACATGCCTCTGTAAGTGTATCCATTTTGGAAACCGAGAGGTGTTCATCTACATGGGTGAAAAGTGTCCAGATGCAAAGCTCTATGTGAGTCGCAAGGGACGAAAGTTCCATGCAAATCCAAAGTGTCACGGACTGATCCAAGCCACGGATGTCCAAGGTATCACCGTTTGCAAGTATTGCTTTAAAGGCAAGATTGAGTGACGCATTTTGAGCCCAATGCGCGACCAACGGGGAGCAGCAAGAGGCACATGCTTTAAGGAGGGTGTGCGAAAGTTGCTGACCCCACACCACTTTCTAGGTAAAGCATGTACCTTGTACAGTTGTATAGAGGTGTCTTTACCGAAGCCCTTTATAGGCACAAGCAAGAGTGGGAGAAAATAGGTTTCCGCTCGTTTCGCAGTTATAGCCGGATTTCCCCGGGTGACAGGAACCCTCAAGACGGGATCCCTAAACCATCTAGTGGTTTAGGTTTCGGGGGTTTTGAGGTTTTAGGGTTTCGGGTTTTGGGGTTATTTTAGGGTTGTAGGGTCCCGGGTTCTAGAGTTTTAGGGTTTTAGGGTTTAGGGCTTAGTACAGCCTATACCCCAAGCCTTGCCAAGCCCTACTATACCCTACTAGGTTGAAGGGTTCAGAGTTTTGAACTTTAGAACTTTTGAACTTTTAAACTTTAGATCCTGAAACCCTAAACCCTACACCCTACACCCTAAACCCTAAACCCCGAAAGGTGGCCGACTACTTCTCCAGCACGGCGCTCTTCCACGAGGCACTAGGTTTAGGGTTTAGGGTTTAGGGTTTAGGGTTTACGGTTTAGGGCTTAGGGCAATCTAGGGTTGTAGCTCCTGCCCTGCCAGGACCCGGTGTTCCTTTATCTGCGTTATAGGGTTCTAGGGTTATGCCCTGAAGCCTAAACCCTAAACCCTAAACCCTAAACCCTAAACCCTAAACCCTAAACCCTAAACCCGGCAGCAGCTCAAGCTTATCGGAGTGCATAACTTCAAGCCCCTCAACCCTAAACCCTACCCCTCCCAACCCCAAACCCGAAGCCCTAGACCCTAAACCTTAACGTGCCAGTAGAGAGCTCGACTTAGGGTTTAGGGCTTAGGGTTTAGGGTTTAGGGTTTCGGGTCTTGCAAGTATAGCTCTGCAGCTGTGACAAAGAATGGCCACATTGTTCTCTGGGGACCCAGAGAGAGGTGGCCACTGCAGTGATGCCTCGAGAGTGTGGCCGATGCATCGGCATTTTGATTCTGACTCGAGCGTCACGGCCGATCAGCGCCTGACATGCTGACTTCGGGCCCCCCTAAACCCGAAACCCGAAACCCTAAACCCCAAGCCCTAAACCCCAAGCCCTAAACCCTAAACCCTAAACCCTAAACTTTGGGCTTTGGGCTTTGGGCTTTGGGCTTTGGGCTTTGGGCTTTGGGCTTTGGGCTTTGTGCTTTGCTTAGGGCTTAGAACTTAGGGTTTAGGGTTTAGGGTTGCAAAAGGGAGGCCCTCAAGCCTGCAAGAAGCCCCGGATAAGAAAGTTCCTCTCCAGCCCTACAGCACTGACTGAGCATAGCAATAGGTCTGGAAATTAAAGCCCCAAAAGCCCTTCGAATAAGGTTCGCATTTATCACGCTGAACAGCTGGTAAAACCCGCTGAGGTCGACCATTAGCCCTAAACTCTAGACCCTAAACCATGGCGAAGGTCGACAACATCAGCTTTCAGACTTTGGTCTCGGGGGCGTGCGCGCGGCTGAGGCACCATTACTCAGAAGCACATCTATGGGTGCAGTGGCAGATCCATTTTAGGGTTTAGGGTCTAGGGGCATCTATGATCATGTTTATCGTCTGTCTTTTGCTTATTGACATTTATGTCATGGTGTCGTGTCTAGCTTGTGGGCTGTGGTTGTGCTATCTTCCGTTATATATTTCCTGTGTCACACATATGCATGTACATGTGACTCGAACACTGTCACCAGTAGGGCAGCTGACGGGTCTATGTTTTAGGAGTTGGGGTTTAGGGTTTAGGGTTTAGGGTTTAGGGTTTAGGGTTTAGGGTTTAGGGTTTAGGGTTTAGGGTTTAGGGTTTAGGGTTTAGGGTTTAGGGTTTAGGGTTTAGGGTTTAGGGTTTAGGGATTGAGTTGGGGTAGGCAGAAAGAAGCCTTTCAGAGCCAGGAGAGAAGATGACAAGGTTGCTGTCCACATCGGCAAGGCCAGGACATGTCGTAAACCCTAAATAAACCCTAGACCCTAAACCCTAAACCCTAAACCCTAAACCCTAAACCCTAAACCCTAGACCCTAGACCCTAGACCCTAAACCCTAAACCCTAAACCCTAAACCCTAAACCCTAAACCCTAAAACCCTAAAACCCTAAACCCTAAACCCTAAACCCTAAACCCTAAAACCCTAAACCCCAAAACCCTAAACCCTAAACCCTAAACCCTAAACCCTAAACCCTAAACCCTAAACCCTAAACCCTAAACCCTAAACCCTAAACCCTAAACCCTAAACCCTAAACCCTAAACCCTAAACCCTAAACCCTAACCTTCGGCTTGGTTTACAAGTTGTTCTAGTTGAATGGCACCCAGGGTTCCCAATGAAGGAAGTCGCCCCAAAAGGGGCCGCACTTCAGAGCAAAACCCCGTGTGGAACTAAGCCCCAGATGACCCCGAACCCCAAGCCCCAAACCCCAAACCCCAAGCCCCAAGCCCCAAACCCTAAACCCTAAACCCTAAACCCTAAACCCTAAACCCTAAACCCTAAACCCTAAACCCTAAACCCTAAACCCTAAACCCTAAACCCTATACCCTAAACCCTCAACCCTGAACCCTAGATGTTGGATCGTGTTGGGTGCCACCCTTAGGCTCCTCCAGCCAGGGCAGGGATCTTACTTCCCAAAAAAAAGTGCTTGTGAGTCCCAGGTTGAGCTCTAGGGTTTAGGGTTTAGGGTTTAGGGTTTGGGGGAGTGTTCAGGAAGAAAGTGAACTCCCTCAACTCTCAGCCCTCAACCCTAACCCTAATCCCAAAACCCCTTTTGCTTACCATCTTTGGCTGAAAGGATACCCGAGCTCAGAGTGGGCTTCGTGACTCAATGTTTTTCGGTAGGACTTTCGGGCAGCCTGCCGGCCTAAACCCTGAACCCTACCCTTACTTGGAAGCTCTTTTGACTTATCAAGTCTACTTCTTATCCCCCTAGAAACCCCATTGTAGTCCGCATATCCCATCTTACCCTAAACCCTACAACCTAAACCCTAAACCCTAAACCCCAAACCCTAAACCCTAAACCCTAAACCCTAAACCCTAGAAATTCTATAGACCGCGCATATACATGTATATCCAAAATGGGGTTTAAGAGGATCTACTTAAAGAACATTTTCGGAGCCATGGCAGACGAGAACGAGGGAGTCCACGTGGATGTCGAGGCAGAAGCTGAGGTCAAGATTTCCCCAGAGGCGGCAGGATGCCGAAAAGAAAGGCAAGAAGCCTGATCCTTAAGACTGCAAAGGCCACCCAAGATGCGCAAAGACTCAACAAGCGGTGGAGTCCCCACAGTAGGCCGTGTTTTCCTGTCCTGCCCTTTGCCAAAACACGTCAAAGCATCACGGTTTGCTGGCTTACCTTCTGCAGCTTAGGGTTTAGGTTGAGGGTTTAGGGTTTAGGGTTCAGGGTTCAGGGTTTTGGGTTTGCCTGTATGATGAGATCCAGATGTTTCACCTTACCTTTGCCTGGCAATGGAGACCATAACTCCATGCCTGGGAAAGGACGGACCATTGCCAGATGGCACAGATTCCAGTTGGAGGGAAGATGCAAGGGTTAGGGTTTGGGGGCTTAGGGGTTTAGGGTTTAGGGGTTTAGGGGTTTAGGGGTTCAGGGTTGAGGGGTTTAGGGTTGAGGGCTTAGGGTTTGTTCGGTGGTTCCCAATGCTGGGTCCCCCTTAGAAAACGTACATCTTGGAGGGTTTTAGGGTTAGGGTTTAATTAGGGTTTAGAGTTTAGGGTTTTTGGGTTGTTCTCGGGGTTCATTCAAGTTGTTGGGTTTTTTTTTAAGCCTGAGTCCCAAATCCTAAGTTCTGAAGCCCAAGCCCCTGAAATCCTAAACCCTAAACCCTAAACCCCAAACCCCAACCCCCAAACCCGAAACCCTAAACCCTAAACCCTAAACCCCAGACCCTCATCAGCCAGGATGCGGCGACGGAGGTGCGGACCAACGAGGGGGCCCAGGCCCAGCTAGACCTGGAGCCTTGGTGGTTTTGGGGTTCGGAATTAGGGTTTAGGGTTTAGGGTTTGGGGTTTGGGGTTTGGGGTTTGGGGTTCGGGGTTTAGGGTTTAGGGTTTAGGGTTTTAAGGAAAAGCCCAGCCAGACCTTGAGCCTTGGTGGCCCAGTGGCTTTGGGGTCTTCGGTTTTGTGGGGCTTTTAGGTTTTTTTCTGTCTTCTTGGGGGCTTTTGGGTTTTTAGGGTTTTTGAGGTTTTTAGTTTTTTTAGGGCTTTCAAGGTTTTGAGGGTTTTAGGGCATGAGTCTTGCTGGCTTTGGGGTCTTAGTGCCTTTGGGGTTTTCCCAGGGCTGTTAGGTTTAGGGTTTTTGTAGGGGTTCTGGGGTTTAGGCCCAGTAAGACCTTGAGTCTTGATGGGGTTTGTTGTGGTGTGTTTAGGGTTTAGGCGCAGTTAGACCTTGAATCTTGGTGGCTTTGTGGACTCACTGCCTTGGGGGTTTTCCAGGGTTTTAAGGACTTAGGGTTTTGTAGGGTTGTTAGGGTTTAGTAAGACCAGTTAGACCTTGAGTCTTGGGTGGCCTTGGGCTCTGCGGGTTTTTGGGGGCTTTTAGGGTTCGTGGTTCGAGTTTTTGGTCTTAGTGCTTCAGGGTGTTTTAAGTTTTGGTGTGTTTTGAGGTCTTTGTCCTGTAGGGTTTTTTGCAGGTTTTAGGGCTTTTAGGGTTTTAGGGTTTTAGGTTTAGGAGCTCAGGGCTTCCGAGGCTTAGACTTTGTCTCATAGTTGGGTAACATGTTACCTTTCAGGGTACTTAAACCCAGTAAGGAATGACAGTTTACATTTTTTTCATCCTGTCCCAACCATGAACTGGTAGAATTGAGGGTCTTGTATGAGGCTTCAGGGTTGTTTTCTGGCCAATGAATTGCGGCCAGGGATGAACCCTGCAGTACTCCGACAGAGGTGAGGTCTTCTACTTGGTAGCCCAGTGGTACCCTTTAACCTTTTTTTGCTCTGGGTTCCCTTATAAAGTAGCCAGCCAAAAAAAGGGTGCCCTTATCACAATATGGTTAATGGGCTACCGAGTGCATAGAGCTTTAGAGGTTTGAGGTTTTGGGGTCTTAGCGTTTAGGGTTTCTTGACTGGCCGTTTTGAGGTTACCGCCCATAGTTAGTGCGTTTTGGTTAGGGAAGGGGTCGCCCCAAACCCTGGACCTTCAACCCTTAACCCTAAACCCTGAACCGCAGATTTTGGGGCTTAGGCCTCTCGACGGCTGGGGTTGAGGCTTCGAGGCTGACTTGGTAGCCCAGCAGTACCCTTTTTCCCCATTTTGGGTTCGAGGGTTGCTTTAAGTGAGGGTTGCTTTAAGTAGAAAGTACCCAACCTGAAAAAGGATGCCCTTATCTAATATGGCTACTGGGATACCAAGTTGAAGGGTGGACCCTAAACCCTAAATCCTAAACCCTAAACCCTAAGCCCTGAGCCCTGAGCCCTGAGCCCTAAACCCCTAAGCCCTAAGCCCTAAACCCTGGCGATGCTGATGGCAGTGATGTGTTGTGGCGGAAGCACAGCCCAACTTTCTTGGGGCTGTTTTGGCAGAGATACCAGAACGTGGACCCCACTGCCTTTTCAGAGCCAGACCTTCGGCCTCATTTCCACGGCGACGAGGGCAGGGGAAAACGGTAAGAACCTGTTCAGGGTTTAGGGCTTAGGGCTTAGGGCTTAGGGCTTAGGGTTTAGGGTTTAGGGTTTAGGGTTTAGGGTTTAGGGTTGGTGTGGAGTACGCACGGCGCCATCGGCTGTGGAGCTCGTCCATTCCAGAAGCATCATGACATGCTGCCGGTTGCCAGGGGAAAGAAGATGGGGGGTGAACCTTTTAGGGCACGCCATGGGGAATCGTACTTTAAATTCCAAGGGTTTGGAACGCTTCGGACATGGGTCGTGAGTACAACTTGCTACAGACACAAGGCTTTCGATATAAGGCCAACTGTGGTGGGTTGTCGTTTTGGGATGTCCTAAACCCTAAACCCTAAACCCTAAACCCTAATCCCTAAACCCCAAACCCCAAACCCCAAACCCCAAACCCTAAACCCAATCACCCTAAACCTTAAACCCTTCAGGGTCTCGGCTTCGGGTTCAGGGACACTTGCCAAGGACCAGCTGGACTTCGGCTTGTTCACGAGCTTGCCTTCACCACGGAGGCTGCTACACCAGTGCACTCCAGTGGCTCGCATGCACTGTGTGGGCTTAGGGTTTTGGGTTTCGGGCTCTAGGGCTTTTAGTGGTTCTGAGAGTTTGGGGTCTAGAGTGTCCCTGCACTACGGGCCAAGGTCCGAAGTGGTAAGAACCTTTGGGGGTTTAGGGGATAGTCGTGTGTGGGATTTGGGGATGTTTCGGGGTTTCGGGTTTAGGGTTGAGGGTGTCGTATGCAGGGTTTAGGGTTTAGGGATGCTAAGGGCCCTAATTTCTACGTTCACTCCACGGCGTTCGTGCACAGTCTTCGTCCCCTCCTAGAACTGAACGTCTCAACCCAAAAACTCTAGGAAGCCTTCGTGAGGGCCAAGTCTGCGCCACAAACCTGGTCGCGCAAGCACTCTTGACGAGTCCGAGGTGATCTGGGTCACTTTGATCAACATGTCGCTTGGCGACGAATAGGGTTCCCCCTAAACTCTAAGCCCTAAACCCTAGGGATCCGCGTTCAAGCCTCAAGCCTCTGCCCTTTCTGAGCCTGAAGTCAGGGTTAAGGGTTTTGGGTTTAGAGTTCTTGCGTCCAGGCAACGTCCCCCCCCCCCAAACCCCCCAGACCCCCGCTAAAATTTCAGGGTCTGGGGCTTCGGGTTTAGGGTTCAGGGTTAACCCTAAATCCCTCAAGCCCAAATCCCCTAAGCTACACCGCAGTAGTGCACTTGAGGGGTTATTCATTTTTTGGGGGGTTTAGGTTCCCTTATAATTCCCTTGAAACCGAAAAAAGGCTACCCTCTTATTTCTAGGTTGCTCTTGGGTCTAGTGATCGAACGTGGGTCACCGAAAGCTCCCCCTGTGGTTCGGCGCGCAGCCGAATCTGCGAGTCCTTCACAACTCGAGACTGCTTCCTGGTCAAGGTCGTCAGGAGGCAACTGCGTCGTGTAAACCCCTAAACCCCAAACCCTAAAACCCGAAACCCTAAACCCTAAACCCTACACCCTAAACCCTAAACCCTAAACCCTCACCTCCGTCGACGACAGCGCGAGCGACATCGTGAGGTCGGCGCTCGGAGCTTCTGTATCGCTATCGGCGGCTCGTCCGTCGCACGTGACGTAACCCTCAGATCATCAACAGCATTTGGCACAACAGGGTTTTAGGAACCCTAAACCCTAAACCCTAAACCCTAAACCCTAAACCCTAAACCCTAAACCCTAAACCCTAAACCCTATACTCTCTTGAACTTCCTCGAGCTCCCTTAAGCTCCCCTAAGCCCGATCCCAAGAACTCCCTGAGACCATCCAGCGACTCGTTTAGTTTAAGAGTTCCCAAGACTTCCTAACATGGGGAACCCCGCAGGGTTTAGGGTTTAGGGTTTAGGGTTTGTGTGTTTCTGGTGAGGGCATTGGGTACCCTATATAGAATCCCTGGAAAGGGTATCTATAGGGGGATAGAAATATAACGTGCCCAATTCCTTCATTGCCTAGTAAGGGGCGGCAGGTTCATGTTTGTTTCCTGTTATTGCTGATATACAGGGTTCCTTATAAATCTTTGTGAGTGCCTATGTATTGGGTGTCCTATGAAGCCGACTTTATATGGAGTCCCTTCAGGCTGCCTGCGCCATTCACTCAACAGAATTTCTGGATTGAGTATTTGGGCATTAGTTTTAGGGTTTAGGGCTTAAAGTTTAGGGTTGGCTTAGGGATTACGATTCCAGATTTAATTTCAAGATTTAGGATTCAGGGTTTAGGGTGTAGGTGTTGAAGAATGAGGTTTCATGTTTGTTTGTTTGCATCAAACATGAGAAAGATTCACGATTCTGTTGTTTACTGCTCCAAGGGGATATGTAGGGTTAAAGTTTAGAGGCTTATTTTGTCGGGATGATACACACTGAAATGTACTTTTCTCAGGTATCGGCCATACCTCGCTAAACTCCAAGTCCCCCAACCTGGAATCCAAAGAGTAGCCTTAAAGCACTAAACGCTGAGCCCTGAGCCCTAAACCCTAAACCTGAAACCCTAAACCCGAAACCCTAAGCCCTATTTACCATCCCTAAATTTTCAACCCTAAACCCTAAACCCGAAACGCGAAACCCTAAACCCGAAACCCGAAACCCGAAACCCTAAACCCTAAACCCTAAACCCTAAACACCAAACCCCCCTAAGGTGGCCGGCCTTGCTCTCCCACTACCTGCAGATGATCTGGTGCAAGCCCGTGCCAGAGCAGGCAAACCCCCAAACCGGTTTAGGGTTTAGGGTTTAGGGTTTAGGGTTTAAAGTTTAGGGTTTAGGGTTAGGGTCGGTTGAGGGTTCCGACTCCGACCTTAAACCCTAAACACCCTCAACACCCCTAAAAGCCGCTTGGCTGTGGACTCGAAGGTTCATGCGATCCTATGGTACCCCCCCCCCCCCCTTGCTGGCGGCAGAGGTTCCTACCGTGCGGCATGTCCCTAAGGTTGCCCGTGCAGCCTGGGCCCAATGTCTGGCTCGCGCTATTGCCTCAACAGTAGCACGCAACACCCCTGCCGCTTGGTTGGAATTATTGATGCTCCCCAAAGCCGTGCTTGTCGCTCCTCTCCGTGGTGGGGCTCGCCACCGCGCCCAATTGGGGCAAGCCACCAAGCGGCGCTGCTTGCGCTGGCTCGATGGTGAGAGGGTTGAGCTGTGGGAGGAATGTGTGTTTGAGCCACGCCAACGTAGCGGTCCGACTCGCCAGTCCCTTGAGGCCCGCCACTCCCGTTGCCGCCGCCTTGCCGCTGAGGGTGATCTAGCTCGAGCGTGTGACGCTCTGCTCCAGGAGCCGCCTCTACCCCGTGATGCTGCCACCCTCGCTGCTCTGCAGGCCAAACACCCTCAAAGCCCACTGCCAGACCTTGCTGCTTTGGGCGCGCCTCGTCCGGGCGCTGTGCCTGAGTTCAGCGCAGAGGCTGTTGCCAAGGCAGTGAGAAGCTTTAAGCGTGCTTCGGCCCCAGGGCCGTCGGGGCTTAGGCCCGACCACCTTCGTGAAAGCTTGTCCACTGCTCACGCAGACGAGGTTGCTGTGCATCTTGCGGCCTTATGCCACCTCTTGGCGAGGGGAGAGGCCCCCGCTACCCTTGCCCCTCACTTGGCCGGGGCTACGCTGCACGCCTTGCCCAAGCCTCAGGGGGGCGTGCGGCCTATCGCCATTGGGGAAGTTTTGCGCAGGTTGGTCGGGAAACTGTTGTGTGGGAGCGTTCGCGAGGCCGCTCGTGACCAGCTTTGGCCCTTGCAAGTCGGTGTAGGTGTGCCCTCAGGAAGCGAAGCTGCCGTGCACGCTGCGCGACACTGGCTGCAAAGCCATTCTGGGCATGAAAACCGCGTCCTGGTCAAGCTTGACTTCCGCAATGCCTTTAATGCAGTGTCTCGCGCGTCCGTTCTCCGGGAGGCCCGCGCCCGAGTTCCGGAGGTTTCTTCTTGGGCCGACTGGTGTTATGGACAGAGCTCCCGGCTCCGTTTTGGAAAGCACGTCGTCGCTTCCACATCTGGGGTGCAACAGGGCGACCCTCTAGGTCCCCTTCTGTTTGCCTTGGCCCTTCAACCAGCCCTTGCAGCGGCCGCTGCAGCGGCGCGCCTGGACTTGTGCTTCGCGTACTTGGATGACGTCGTGTTAGCTGGCAGCCCTGCTGACGTGGCGAAGGCCTTGCGTGCTCTCTGTGAGGTTGCCGGCCAGGCCGGCCTTATCCTCGAGCCCACCAAGTCTGAAGTTGTCCTTCCTGGCGCCGCCTGCAGCCCTGACCTCCGCGCCCTGCCGCCGGGCCTGGTACGCCGTGTCGGCGAATTCGAGCTCCTTGGTGCGCCCATAGGGGGTCTCTCTTTCTGCAACCAACACTGCGTGACCCACCGTGTTGATAAGACAAGCTTGTCTGAACGCCCTTGCTGAGCTACCGGACTCGCAAACCGCGCTCCTCCTACTTAGGCATTGTGCTTCCTACACTAAGTTGGCCTATTCCATGCGGGTGACCCCGCCGGCGGCCCATGCAGATGCCTTGCAAGAATTTGACAGTCGCGTTCGAGCCTCGCTCGAACTAATCGGGGGGCTCCAACTCACTGATCGCGCTTGGCAGCAGGCGACCTTGAGAGTTGCTGCCGGCGGTTTGGGGCTGCGCAGCGCGGCCAAACACGCCCCCGCAGCATACATTGCCTCCGCCTCCTCGTGCTCGGAAGCTTGTGCTGCGCTGTCGCATCAGTACGTTTTGGACCTCGCCCACCCGGCAGCCCAATACAATGCGACGGTGGCCCCTGATGCTGCGCTCCCCCCTCAGCCTGTGCCCGTTAGGCAGCAAGAGTTGTCAAGCGCCATTGATGCCGCTGAACGGCAGGCCTTGATTGCCTCTAGCGCGGGCGAGGCTGACCGTGCGCACTTGCAGTTGCTGCAGCAACCAGGAGCCGGTGCCTGGCTGCTAGCCCGCCCAGCCGAAGCCCTCGGTCTGGCCCTTGAGCCGGCTTTCTTCCGCGTTTTACTCCACCTCCGCCTTCGCCTCCCTGTTGCACCGTCCGAGGGCTACTGCCCGTTCTGCGATGGAGTGGCTGACCGGTTTGGAGACCACGCCCGCGTGTGCCCATGTGGGGGAGACCGCTGCAAGCGCCACAACCGGCTCCGCGCGGTTCTCGCCGAGCGGGCTCATGCTGCAGGCTTATCCCCTGAGATTGAAAAGCCAAACCTCCTCCCCGCCCGCCCTGCTGAACTTGGAGCCTGTGAGGCAGGCGCAGTTGGGGAGTCCGTCGGGGGTGGCCGCCGACCAGCCGATGTCTTTGTGCCTCATTGGGGGTTGCACGGGCCTGCAGTGTTCGACCTTGCCGTCACGAGCGGCTTGCGATGTGGGGCAGCTGCCGCCTCTGCTGCAGATGGCTCTCACACTTGTGCGGCTTACGAGGAACGCAAGCGTTCCCATCTTAACACGGCAGCCCTCTGCCGAGACCAGGGGCTGCAGTTCCTCCCCCTCATTGCGGAATCATCCTGTGGTGGCTGGGGACGTGAAGCAATCAAAGTCTGGCGCACACTCGGGGCGCTCCTGGCCGCTAAGTCCGGTGATGGATCGGGCGCGGCCACCGAGCAGCTTTTGCAGTGCCTCAGCGTCACGCTCCAGCGTGAGAACGCCCGTGCCGTCTTGCGCCGCCTGCCCGATGGCGCGCAGTCCGCCTCCACTCCGCTGCAAAACCCGTGATCCCGAATGCTCCCAAGCTGGGCGCCCGTGACAGAGCAGACCTCTGCCCTTGCTTATCTTGCTTGCCCTCTGTGCCCGGCCTGCCTGGCCCTTTTCGCACCTGACCTCTGCTTGGGCTCGTCGAGCTTCCTCTGACCTCCGCTTGGGTCCGTCAAGCTTCTTGCGCGTAGCTTGTAAAGTAGCACACGCTGCTACGGCCCATCGGCAAGCATGGGGCTGGAGGTCTTGCGGGACGCCGGGGACTCCTGCAGGTGTCGGGGGTTCGCCCTACGGCCGCCTTGCTCTCTGCCTTCTGATGGTGGGGTGGACGCATCCTACATCACCGGGTGTCGGGCGCGAGACTCACAAACAGGTTGGACGCGGGGCTTTGGCCGTGCCGCATTTTGTTGGGCTTGTTCACAAGCAACGTCAGCCCCAAACCCTTAACCCAATGAGGTTTGAGGGTTGTACATGACTTGACAGAACATGATTCGGGTACCCCCCAGCCCCGTATTTGAGTTTCGGGTTTAGGGTTTAGGGTTTAGGGTTTAGGGCATCGTGCTTAGGCAACCCCCGCCTTCCTGCAAAAGAACCCAACATCTCACCTTCCCGATGTGGGGTTTAGGCTTTAGGGCTTAGAGAAGGTTCAACCCTAAACCCTACACCCTAAACCCTAAACCCTAAACCCTACACCCTAAACCCTAAACCCTAAACCCTAAACCCTAAACCCTAAACCCTAAACCCTAAAGGCTACCTTCAGGCTCTAGGGCTTAGCGTGAAACTCTTAGCTTAAGCCCTCTTGGGGTAAACCCTAAACCCTAAACCCTAAACCCTAAACCCTAAACCCTAAACCCTAAACCCCAAACCCTAAACCCTAAACCCTAAACCCGGTCCGGCTACGAAGAAACCCCAAGCCCAGCCCAAGCATGATTCAAGCTCCGGCGCTCTATAAGTTCAACGTCTGCCAAAGCCATAGCGATTCTGACCCTTGATGTCCCCAAGCCCAAAGCGCCCAAACCCACACCCCAGAACCCGATAAATTTTCTGAGCCCTGCGCCCCAAATCCCTCAAACCTTAAAGCCGAAACCCAACATCCCAACACCCCCAAACCCTGAACCCCCCAACCGTCAACCCGACCCTATACTAAACCCCCCAAACCCCAAGACTGAAGGTGCTTCTTATTCACCCGGTTGTCACCATGTTTGGCTACTTGAGGTGCTTCTAAGTGGGTTAGGATAGCCCTGAGCCCTAAACCTCTTGGGTTTAAGCACCCTTGTAACTGGGGTGAGGGTTTAGCGTTTTGGGTTTAGGGTTTAGGGATGTAGTAAACTTCCTTCTGTCCCTATAACATTGCCCAAAACCCTCCTACACTCTCGACCCTAAGCAACCCTAGGCCCTAGACCCTAGACCTAAACCCTAAACCCTAAACCCTAGGCCCTAAACCCTAAACCCCAAACCCCAAACCCCAAACCCCAAACCCCAAACCCTAAACCCTAAACCCTAAACCCAACGGAGATTGAAAGCAACCCCCCGCTGCCTCGCAAGCACAGGGCGGCGTGAAGCAGCGCCTGCTACCTCATCCGGACCTTCAGTGCTGGGCAGGCTCCAAGCTTCCGGCGGGGGTTGTAAGACCTAGGGTTTAGGGTTTAGGGCTCAGGGCTCAGGGTTCAGGGTTTAGGGCTCGGGGCTTAGTCCGTGCCAGCACCACCGCTTGTCTTTCAACAAGGGTTGCTTGGAGGTTCACGTGTACTTATAGCCCCATTCATAAGTCTACTGATACCTACTTAGGGGACGTAGGGGGCTTATAAGTACAGTTATAGCTGGTGTCATAAGTGCCCTAAGTACAAGAGTTGGTTAGTCCTCCTCGGTAACTAAGGTGTTGGGTTCCGCGTGTATATCTTCTGGTCTTGGGCTTTCTGATCCTCCAAAGTAGAAGTACCCCAAGCATCGTCAACCCTAGTTATCGGGACCCCCCACAAAGAGTACCACTATAACCCCCTTTATGGTCCCCAAAACGCTAAACTCTAAAGTCTAAACCTTAAGCCCTTCACCCTGTAAACCCTGTGGTGGACGCTTTGTAGGTTTAGGGTTTAGGGTTTAGGGTGTTCACCTTAGATCTAAGGATAGTTGCCATGGCCCTCAGCACAGGGGCGTCAGGCGAATCGGAGCCTTTCTGACGTAGTAAGTAGGGCTACTCAATTTCAAAAGTTTCTGGGGGCTACCGAGTAGACTTGCTAAGTCACAAGAGCTTCTAAGTAGACCCTTCTTAGGGCTACTAAGTAGACTTACTAAGTCACAAGAGCTTCCTTATAAGCCCCTTTAACCCAAAAAGGGCACCCTTTTTTTTACTCCAGAACTTCTAAATGTTTAGATTTCCAAAATACCAAATAATACGTACAAAAGGGCCTCATAACATATTACTATTTTTCTAGCCCTTACAATTTACTATTAAATGCTGGGGAAAATAGTATATTAAATGTACTATAATTCTATGGACAAGTGAATGAACGGAGTGAATGACACACGCATACAATATTAAGGGAAGAGAAGCGAATTTACTATATTTTAATGCGTTCACTCATTCATTCGTTTCATATTAAATTTACTGTCACGTGTACGCATTAAAATCGTGTAAATGCTGCGTTCATTATATTATTTCGGCTTTCGTGCATCATTTTATTCTTTACAAAGCCTTATAATATATTCTCTAGTTTCGTTCACACATTAATTGATTTCACGCGTACGCTTCACTCCTTGTAAATCAATTAATATGCTCTCTACACTCTTTATCTGTTCACCCCTGGCATACGAACTAGCCGGCGAAACAAAGGAGTTATAGTTCTAGCCCCGGTTATTCAAGGAGTGGTTAGTGCTTTTCCTATTGCCAAGGATGTACACTATGAGCCCGTCCCGTGAATAGGATGACAGCCGAGGTTGGTTGCGTTCCCCGGTGAATGACAGGTTAAAAGAGGTGAAAAAAGCCCCCATTCTATTATTAAATTTCATGCGTCATTCATTGCACTCATTTCCTTATAAATTGAATATAGAATGAAATGGTCTTTTAGTAATATTACCGGGCTAATAAGGGATTCATTAAATGCCCGGTTATAATTCTATTATTATTCTATGAGATGGAGAGACTGAAGATGTGAATGGTCAAAAAGCCCCACTTCGTTCACGCATTGTTCATTGACTTCACGCGTCACTCATTATATTCACTCCTTGTAAGTCAATGATCACTGCGTGTACTTCGTTCTCTTCATGGTGATCCTATAGTACAAGGTGGTAAAGGTACTAAAAGGGGTGTCTGTGGGGAATGACAGGCGGTTGGGGTCCCGAGGGTGGGTTCTTAGTGGCTTGGAAACAGAGGTTGGGTGTTACGTTCACACATTCATTACATTTCGTGCTTCATTCACTACGTTCATTTCATTACAAATGCAATTCATGTGCTCTCTTCACTCAATAAACCTAAGGACCAAGTACTATAGGATCAAGGTGGACACATGTGCTTTTGGTCTTTTAAGGGGCGACTCTGGGGTCTTTTGCTCTTTGCCCCTATTATTATATTACGTGCGTACATTAAATAAGCTCGCGCATTTAAAGCCCGTATTATAATAATGGGGAAAAGACCCTAGACTTGGAGATGAAGACAGAAGACTCATGCATCTAGTTCCAGCTCCAGCGGTAAGACTCATGAAAAGACGAGTGTTATCCAGACCAGGCGTTAACAGGGTCT